CATCTAAATTCACATTTTTCTTAATAATTACAAACTTTTCACAAAATGATTTTGAAAAATACTTTGAGAACATTTCAAATAACTCAATAGTTTACTTTTCATTTCTATATAATTGATGCTCTGAATCCTATGTTCGATAAAAAAACTTTATTTTGTTCTATTTTTAAAATTTGTCCACCTACCCCCATTATCTTGACCGAAATCAGCCTTACGGAATATCGTAGAGAACTAAACTCTTTCGCCATATGAATATTTTCCAGAAAATGCTAACGCTTGAGGTTTGTACGTTTACAACAACGCGTTACTTTTATTTCCCGTATCTTAAAAAAACTCGAGGATCTTTGGAAAACATCAGTTGATTCAGATGCTTTGAAGCTTGTGTGTGAGTAAAAAAATATGAAATACGTCTATAATGTAAGTTTTAATGAAATGAAGAACATTTAAAAATATATGTTAATTTTCGAAAAATCAATCGTCTTAATTAAAATCACGCTTGTGCTAAGTGATTAAGTGTATGTTGCTCTAAGGGTGCACGAAGGTTAATGGAAAAATGTGAAACCGTTGTTGAGAAAATAAGGTTTCACATGTACTCAAAATTGCACGAACACTTAATATTTTCGAAGAAAGGACATGACATTTATGAACAACACATTTCATTTGAAGAGAAAATCTCTTTTTTAAGTCATGCAACAGTATAACTGTTCACAAAATGTCAAACTTTTTGCAATTTTCGAACATTCAAAGTGCCATCCTACGTCCTAAGTACTCCCAAAATTAAAAGAACCGTTTCAAATTCAAGGGTCCGCGACATCAGCCAGTTCAATCAAGGAGTATCAATTTTGATAAGTAAATCTTGCATTCAGTTTAGTCACGGCCACCTCAGAAAGGATTTGAACTACAATTACAATTTTTGAAGGAACATCAAGTTCATAATTGGATTAAAGTATCAAGTATTTTCGAATAGTGAATTACATATTATCTAAAAACACATTCATCAAAAATTTGGTTATTCATATTTTTAGTTTTAGCGAACTTAAAGTATATATAAAAATATTTAATCTTTGAAAAGGTGAATATGAGTGTGTCAACTGTCAAAATTAAATGTATTCTACATCATGTAGAAATTCATTCAATTGATTGACTTACTCTTATAGATGCAGTGATGCAGAGTGAAGAGAGGAAGGAAAAGTTAAAAATGCGCATATCCGAAACAATACATTTTCTGCATTATATAAAGGGAAAAATAAAATTTAATATGAACGTAGTACCTATCTTAGATAATGGGTTAATCAATAACAGAGAACGAGACGTTTCTATTGCGCAAGCACATAAAAGTCATTAAGCAAACATTTAAGGGGAAGTAGAAGCCGCATTCTGTAAAGGCGAGTCTCGCAATCTTCGGTGTCGAGCTCTCTTCGAAACAGACGCTTTCTAAAAATAAATTACAAATTTAGCACAGGCAATTTGTCAAAGCGGTGGTAAGAAATGATATACGAGAACAAAATTTTCCAGGGAGCATCATTAATTTCGTAAGTGTCTTCTATCTTCGTAGTAATACCGAACACGTGTAAAACTTGAGTTTTGTGAATTATATTTAATCGTTCGAAAAGTTTCGTTAAAATAATTTTCACAAAATGTAGCACAAGTTTAAAAAGAAATTTTTAAATTCACGAGTCTCAAAGACGTTAAGTGTTTCTTGAGTGCTCAGACATTTATAATGCCTGTAATTTATATTTCACGAGTTCTTTAAGCCGCAAGGTCAAAACATAATTTTAACATTAATTTTAGCGAAAGAAGGGCACGGAAAATAAAGGTTAAGATTGTGAACATTAGGGATGTGTTGAAATTTGAAGAGATAAGGTGAGTGTTAGTCCAACAGACAGACACAGTTGTGAGCAGCTACTGAGTTGGAGAGATAGGCAGGAACGGAGAAGGACATATGCCGAAGAGAAGAAAAGACAAAGAAGGATGTAGAAAGAGACAGATGGGACGTGAGGCAGAGATGTGGGAACCCAACGTGGCCCGCGCGGAGCCAATGTGTCTTATCAATTTCGCTCGTACGAAGTGTTAACGTTTCTTGAGCCTGCGACTATCGTATTTGTTTCATTATCCTACCTCCTGGTGAGTGCATTTTAATTAAATTAAATTGGAATATAATCGAATCACTACTTCAGCCAATTTGTTCCCCTTTTGATTACATGAAACTACTAGTGCAATAAAAATAAAAATAGATAAACTTATCAGGCTCGTTTGGATTATAAATTCAAAATATTTCGCTCAGTAAATATTATTTTTCTCCACCATTCCTCTCAAAGACATCATGGTGCTAACAGGCCAACAGTCCATCGCCACTGAAACGTTCTAAAATTTACATTGCGGCAGCAAACCATGAACAAATATTCACTTTTTCCGTCGCAATATGGTAAATCCACCGGTATCGAGCCGGGAATGAAGGGGAAGAGGAAACTGGGATTGTAGGAGGGAGAGGAGAAGACACAGGGTGAGGGAGGGCAGGGAAGGAAGAACCGCAAATGGGGGACAGGCCGGGTCGGAGTGGCGAGGGGTGCGGAGGAAAGGAAAGATGGGAAGGGGAGGACAGGAGAGGCGGGAAGGGGAGAAGAGCGAGATGGAGACGGGGCGAGAGAAGGAGTAGGAGAGGGGAGGAGAGAACGCAGTGAGAGGAAGGGAAAGGAGGGAGTGGAGAGGGGAATGGAGAGGAGGAGAGGGGCGGAGAGGGAGATAATAGGAGAGGGATAGGGTAGGAGAGGGAAATGGAGGGTAAGGTGAGGGAGAGAAGAGGAGAGGGATAGGAGAGAAGAGGAGAATGGAGAGAGGGAGAAGTGGGGAATGGACAGGGAGGAATGGAGGGAGTGGGGGGAGAGGAGAGCGGACGGAAGGGGGAGAGAGGTGAGGAGGGGAAGGAGAGCGGTGAGGAAGAGGGAGACAGATGAGGACGGGGAGGAAAGGAGAGGGGAGAGTTTGCCGTCGAGGGCGCTGCGGGGGATTATCCGAGCCTCGCGGGGCGCTTCCCCTTCCCCGCCACGGAGAGGGGTAGGGGGGAGAGGGGGAGAGCGGGGAAGGGGGTGGAGGAAGGAGATCCTCTTCATCCCGGCACTCGCTGGCGGCGTCACGCGGACACTACACCCGCTCCCCCCGCGCACAGATCGCCTTGCGGGCCCTGCGCTGACCTTGCTAAAAGGAGCAAGGCCGCTGCAACTGGAGTTGGGTGGCAAGACGCGGTACAGTCCGTAGAGACACACTGACCGCTATACGCTGTCTGAATTCAGCGTAACCCTGGATTTAACGCGCTGCAGAATTACGTTCACTAGACCAAACTTTTGTTCCCGCATTTATGGCAAACTATTCCTCGCACCACATTCACTATCTTTCTGTCAGCATCCTCTCCTAGGCGCAAATCCGTTTTCGTGTCATTCCAAAATTCAGAATTTCGGTTTTTGATCTTCATTTTCTCAATAACGAGGGGCATTGGGTGGATAGAAATTATTATCGCGCCTGCCTCTGTAAGTAAAAGCTCTATGTGCCACTATTTATTGAAACTGATTTTAAGACACTGGGTGTTGGGTTGGATAAATACGCAGCAGAGGAAAGCGACCGCTAGGTTGGATTCAGTGTCAACGAAACGAAACCCGAGTGACCGCGAACTCGGAGTTGCTAATTTTGTGGGGTGCAGTTCCCGCTCGTCTCCTGCTGCACTCGCTTCGGTGCTAATGACGGAGGGCCAAGGGAAACTCACGGAACTGGGCGGTTCTAGCCCTGCACTACATGAGGTCCTGGTCGCACCCCTGCGGGGCAAAGTTGGCAAGTATTTAAGGAGTTTTGTGGTAGGAAAATCGTTATTTATGAACCAAGGGCGTAATACGGGTTGTAATAATCGAGCATCGACAAAAAGCCCAAGGGCCTTTGGCCCGAAGTAACTTGCCCCTGGTGCATACAAGATGTTATTTTTAACATTATTTTAACGATTCAGATTTATTTACTTATGATTTAACAGGATGGTAATATATGTTGCGTTGTCTTTTCATATTTTCCTCCCATCATGCCCTGCCATAATTCTCTCCATAAGAGAACATGTAGCATCGTTCAACTGTCAAGCCCCGTGTCGGAGGTAATAACGTCTGAGTCAAAAACAGTAGTTTTTAGGTTGCATACCTCTCCTCATTGCCCACTCCGCGGACGCCCAAGTCAGACGATTTCATTCGGTGAGCAAAAGTTTAAGATATCAGCGCCGCGAATATGAATAGATGGGGCGCCATCCTTAACGAATGTTTCTCGCCACATGTGGCCTGAAAACACGCAAGGATGCAGATCTCATTTAAGGAGCAACCTTTGTAAAATTCAGCGTTTCATTGCAAGCCTCTGTGATTCATACCTACAACGTCATATATTCGACATTGATTCGATATCAGCTTATTTAAGGATCATAATAATTTGGTTCCTTTTCTTATTTCGGGGTCCTAAAGCACATAGAATTCTCAAGTGTATAATTTGTAGAATTGTACATTAACACAATGTAATAATAATGAAGGCAATATAAAACATGAAAAAACTGACAAAAGAAATGGCAATTATCAGGACAAGTACGTCATTAGTGGAGCTACAGATAAAATTATTACATTCACCACATTATTGTGTTTTAATTGAATAAGTATGAAATAAAAAGTTCAAAACTAAATATAAAAGACCATGCATTTTTTCACGAAGCGATAAACGTCTTGTGAACTAAATGACGACATCGTCGATGTAATTATGTAACATGCATGAACATACGTGTTTTTACCAATATTCATTTGTTACATAAAATGATAATATTGTTCTGTTAATTATGTATATTTTCCAAACGAATCGGCTTTTAAAAAAAATATAAATTGCATATAGCTTACAACCAACTTGTGTTAAACTCTCTTTGCAATTCCACGACATGATAGCGGGAGAAAAACACATTCGTCACTTTTTAGCCAGCAATTTCTTGCTACTCTTACCTGCAGACATGAGTGTTCGACAAAATCGCATCGGTGGCTGCGCGAAAACACCTCCAACCGGGTACTGCTTTGGAGTCAAGAAACATCGCACCGCAGAGGGACGGGGAAGACGTAGAGTCGCAAGAAAGCGTGCTTCGAGGATCGACTGGAGTCGAAAAGTGCGAGGCAAGCCGCCACAAAGGAAGCGCGTGCTCGCGACGAGGAAAAAGTGAAGACGTTGGAAGAGGTGCGTTTGCCCAAGAAACCAAAGTGCAGCCAACTGCTGTGGCGCAAACGACGGCAGGCGTCGGGTTCTTACCTTTTCACGGAGTTCGCTGCGCTTTGAAGACGTCAGCTCAAACAGCGCCCTGCAACAAAAAACGAGATTTATTTCTTGATGATTCTATTTTTTTGGTAATACATACAGATGTATTTATGCTTAACCTGTCGAAGAACTCCCTTTATACTTTTTCATTCACGACTACACGAACAATAATAATGATAATAATAATATTATTATTATTATTATTATTATTATTATTATTATTATTATAGCAGCAGTAGTAATAAATAAACACTTGAAATTCTTGAAACTAATTAATGGTGCTACAACAGCACATAATTTCTCGCATTACTTCTAACTTTTTGCAATATTTGAAAAAAATTGGAGTTTTCAAAAAAAAATTGAACCTGGGATATTTTACGCTATCCGACGACAACGTTTAATGAAATAATTGGACTCATTTCTAAGATTATTTTGAAAATGTTGAGGTCGCATGTAAACCCCGAAAGTCGAAATATCCGTTTGAAACTCGCGAAACGGATATTCCAATTTCAAGGGCATCAAGTTCGTTTAAATCGATCAGAGAATACCAATTTGGAAAAAAACACGTCTGAACTGTTTAGAAGTTAGCGTTGACCACAGACGAGCAGACGGACGTTTTGTTGCTAATCCATTTTTCCGCATAAATGATCCACAAAATGTGAACTTTCTCTACACGATGATATGATGCACTATATATGTCTGCTTAGATTATATAATACACTCTACATAGACGCAAGATTTATCTTCTTTTTCGATATTAGGGACCCATAATACCGGTATTTTGCAGCAGCATTAATACGTTATTTTTACTACGTACGTAGTAAGGTAAGGAAGTAAACATTAGTTATTGTGAGTTAATTCTTCTACCAACGTATGATATATCTCTTAAATTAATATCATTATAAAACATTAAATATTCCAGAATACGATGGAGGTTTACAAAACGGGTCGCCACTTGTTATTTGTAAGGTCAAGAAGTGGGCTATATCCTGCCTCTACAATCCTTTTTACTTCGGTTGATCATGTATCCACGCATGGTTCATCTTGCATCATAATCTCGAAAGTGTCCGGAAGAACTGGCACTACTGGTATGTCAGAGCCTGATATGGGTTGCAACGCCAATGCAAGGGGAGAGAGAGAGAGCGAGAAAGGGGAGGGAGAGAAGGTGCAAAGGAAAGTGAAAGATGATGAGAGGGGGTGAGAGGGAGGACGAGAGGGGACAGAGGTAGGATGAGAGAGGATTAGAGGAAGGATGACAGGGGTATAGACTGAGGATGAAAGGGGGTGAGAGGTAGGACAAGAGGCGGTAAAGGAGGGTGAAAAAACGAGGAAAGGACGTGGGTGCATGGGAGGGGAGAGAGACTGAGTAAGGGTAAGGAAAATTTAATTATCTATACTAAATACCAAAGGAACAGCCAATTTGCTTTGGCAGAAACATCCAGCCTGAGAGCAAGACCTCTGCTCTCCTTCACTCGAAGTGGCTCCGCGTCAAGAACGAAGACGTCAGCCGACAGCCAAAAGTTGTCGCCAACGAGCTCGCGAGGTTTTGCTCGTAAAGCGAACGCCCTCCTCCCCCCTCCCCGGAAACTTCTGTCCTCTCAGATTCCGTTCCCGCCTTCGTGTACTCGCCAATTACAACAAATGTCAACCGGCACGGCGACAGCAGAAAAGGGAAAAAGGAAAAAAAACTGTCACATTTCAAGACCTTACGACGGCAGAACTTCTCAATGGAAAGGGTTGTTAACTACAAGATTTAACTAGAACTAATCTCGTATAAAGACTCGGTCAGAAAAGAGTTAGCACAAAAGGGAGACGAAAAGTTTCCTTATGAAAATTTCAGTTCCCCTCGCGTCGCCTTCTCGGGCGACGCAGAGCGACGATCCGGTGGTATCCAGAAGAGGCGGTTAAGACGCGCAACTTGCAGCCAACTCGGGGAGTGGGCGGTGCGCGCCGTCTTAATAAGGCAGGCAGAGGTCGTGGAGTCCTCGTTCATCAGAAGGCGCGGGATGAAGGACTCTTCGGAGACGCAGGCGGCGCGGGGGCGGCGGGGACGGCGCGGGCGGCGAGGGCGGCGCGGGCGGCGGGGGCGGCGGGGTGGCGGCGGGGGGCGGCGGGGGGCGGCGGGGGCGGCGGGGGCGGGGCGGGGGGCGGCGGGGGCGGCGGGGCGCGCGGGGGGCGGTCGGGGCTGAATTAGGAGCCAGGACGTTGCGAACGTTCTCGAGATTCACTCTCTCTAACGATCAAAGTCCATCGAGTGCGTGGGAGTGATGCATTATGCAAATAGTGGAAGTCGCAAGTACACATTCGTTTTCTGGCTTATATTTATCGAAATCGAATGCGTGAACACTGTAACATACGGAAACCCTTACCTGCCTCGTGTTGCACTTAACAGCAGGGTTGAATGGTTTACGTTGAAGAATGTTCTAACTGCAAACGACTATCACATATATCAATTAGTTTCATCTCTATTTTGGTGAGTTTATTCTTGAGTAAGTACCCAACTACAACGTACCCACTACTACTACAAGACCACCTTCCTTTTAGCGCATAATATATATATATATATATATATATATTATATAATATATATATATATATATATATATATATAAATATTATATATTGCTCCTACTGTAGCATCTGTGTACGTCTGGTTTCGAAACTTTTGTTCGCGTATACTCTACTTCCGTCTCATATACTTCGATTAAAACAAAGTCCTTTCAAAGTCACAACCTGACAAGAGAGGAGAAACTGTCGTCCAATCGGAAGCTTCAAAACCAACAATTGAAGTCGTAATGAAGCACTCTATTGGATGACAGTATCCCCCTCTCCTGCCAGCTTGTGACGTTGAAGCGACTTACCGTTCTAAGCGGAGCGTAGTTGGTCTCTTGCAATCGTCTTAAAAAGGCAGGCGGAGGTTGAAAAGGAATCTTCCTTTCTCAGATGACGTGAGACGAAGTGAGCTCCAGTGACCAGCCGGCGAGTGGGTAGTGCGAAGGTGTTAAGACAATTCCACCTCGTTCGTTAAACTGGCCCAACCCCATCGAGTTTATCGCTTTTGATTAGGTGAGTAATTTTCGTCCATGTTTCAATGTTCAGCACTCCTACACAGTGATACTTGAAGCATTCATCTAAGTACGTACCAGTACTTTGACTTCTCATGAAGTTCATAGAAGCACCCATGTTTCTGACGTACAATACTAGCACTTCGTCGTTGATGAACGATATTATATTGGATGCGGATAAACTGTTGCCAAAGAACGAAGAAGTGGTAGCACAGTCATTGCTCTTAAAAGCTTCTTGAGACCAGAAGAAAAATTAAATAGTTGTGGTAAGATCCAAAGACCTAAGCATAACACAGTAATTCAGAGGGGGAGATTAAGTGTCATCTTTTTGGGGTAAGCAGCAAAGTAAACAGAACATTACAGTAGTTATCTCTAATGTAATATAGCGTGGCATACTTGATTGTCTTCTCCTCAGTCTTGTGCTTCAAATCCTTCTTAATGGTAATAAACTTTTGGTAGCCGGTGGAAAGTGTTTGATGACTACCGAAAATTCGCGGATTTTGTTCTTGTTACTATTACATTGTGATTCATAAAATACTTTTTACTTATTTTATTGACTAATCAGCAATTTGATAATTAGTGATCCAAGATACAAATAACAGATTTATTTCGCTTATCCGAAATTTTCAGGTATATTTCATTTTTATAAATACATGCTCAGCGCAGTATCATGACAATAATAATAATAATAATAATAATAATAATAATAATAATATTGATAATAACAATAATACTTTATTTCCCGCCTACTACTTACGTAGTATAGAGGAAGTACTCAAACCTCAAGGTTTCACTCTTAGTGTGGAACAGCTCTGAAGCCAGAATAAAAAAAAAAAATAGCCCGTAGTTGCAGTCTCATCCGGTACAAGAATAGGTCATCCTCTCAGTGAGTATTCCCAATCTCACCTTCTCAGTATCATGGAATGAATTTTGATATATCTGAAGTATGTATATACATTGGGTTAGATCTCCAAGTGCTTACATAAATAATTAGAAAAACCTAAAATCTGATAGTTGGATCGTGTTTCATATGACGATACCAATATTACGACGAAGAATGTGATGTGATAGCAGCACTAGTTATTACATGTCAGTAGGCGATAAGCAGCACTGGCAGAAGCTTCTGTCTTAGAAAGACGTACCTGCCGTTCTTATGAGTGTTTAAAGAGGCAAGAAGAATAATTCTAGGAAAGGGTGGTTCTCTGTACGAATTGGACGCGTTTCCGTAAAGAGTCCTTTGCAGCCCGGGATCAAAATGCTGTTCCCATTGCGTTCGAAGTCATTCCCTGACCCTCCGCGGGCGAGACGCGGGTTTAAGGCGCCCCAGACGCACATCCCTTTATTCACTAATTACATTCCATCAATTTCAGCCGCGCTGGTCTTTATTCACACATTTCCATAGTCTACCCTTAACCTAGCAGATTTATCTGAGCGAAAACAGCTGAAGGACATTGAGCTAAGTTATAAAAAGAATAGGGATGGACGTTTTTAGTGTGTAACATCTAATTACAAGATGAACAGAGCAAGGATTGGCTAAAGTAACAATCTTCGTATGTTATATGACAAACCCAAACCAAGTTTCTAAGTTTGGAGTGTCGTGAACCAATTGATACTCTTGTATTGGTATTTCACGAATCACTGAAAAAAAATAAGTAAAAACAATTCGTCTTTATATCTTCTCTTTAAAATTAATATTTCCCAATCTAAACGAACTCAGGGTCTCGCCAAGTTACGAGGGGATTGTTTGATTTCTGGAGGTACTTTACATGAAGTCTCAGCAGCATTTGCAAAATTTTCTCAAAAATGGATTGAGTGACCTTTAACTAAAATATGTCGTTTGAAAGCATAAAGAACGCTTAAAGTAATAGCGTGGGTCTCATTTTCGTTCAAATCCCTGATTATTCGAATATTCCAAGATTTCAAAATGTTTTATCGTGTCTTCCTACAGCTAAAATATTAAAGACG